AAACAGGAGGTGCTGTCAGCTGATTTTGGCATCTGGAAGTGACAAGGGCAAGAGGAAAAGACTGAGTCGCCCTCACTAAGGAACAGCGAAACCAATGTACAAAGAGCAAGGAGATAGGGATGGAAGGAAAAGAGTGTCCAATGCTCCCAGATTAGAAAGCGTTCCAAAGTGTCCCAAACTTTGTGACTTATATTCACAAAGATCTCAATCAAATTCCTGTGTTATTCAGGAGGTTGGACTTGACTTTCATAATGGTTTTTTTTCAGGCCTTAAAAATCTTTTAAAAACAAAGCAAAAAACCAATCAATTCCCATACCTCCCCCCCCACCCATGCTTTATGAAATTAACTTCTTCCTACGGTGTGCATGTTTTTCTCCATTTGATTCTAAAATATTTAAAGCATGAGTTTTCACACACACACACACACACACCATATCCTGTGAGAACTGCTCTCTTTCCAGTGTAACAATTTGAAACCCAAACTTTTGCCTCTCCATTTGTACATTAATTTATGCCTCTCCTCAACACAAGTCTTTAGCTCTGGCTATAAGCAGCTCTTATGAACAGCTGTCTGACATAAATAATTGAAAGTCACATTTGATTTTTTTTTACAATTGATTTTTTCCATTAATCTGTAAAATGAACTCTATGCAATGCTTCAAAGTCCGATAGGGTATGTCTACACTACAAAGTTAATTCAAACTAACAGCCGTTAGTTCAAATTAACTTTAATAGCGGCTATACATGCAAACCGCTAGTTCAAATTTAAATCAAACTAGCAGAATGCTTAATTCGAACTAGGTAAACCTCATTCTACGAGGACTAACGCCTAGTTCGAATTAAGTAGTTCAAATTAAGGGCTGTGTAGCCACTTAATTCGAACTAGTTGGAGGCTAGCCCTTCCCAGGGCCACTCTGGGCCAAACCAGGGAAACTTTTCTGCCCACCTCCTGGTAAAGGGGCACGGTCTGGCTACAGTGCTTGTGCCAGTTGCAAGTCTGTCAGCACCCAGCCAGCAGACCCTGCACCTAGCATGGCATGAGCCAGCCACCCGCTGCCATCCAGCCCTCCGCCTCTTCCCAGGACTCGGCTGGCAGCTCCCAGGAGGCTGCCCCGGGCCACAAGA